ACGGTTTCGGCAACGTTGGAGAGGACACGGTCCTCGGGGCTGAGCCAGGATCTGACAGCCCTAACATCGGCGACTGGAGGTTCGGGCAATGTCAGTTAATATTTTGACATCAGAAAGAGGGAAGGAAGCTTGCCTTTGGTCTCATCACCGCGTTCCTTCACAAGCTGGTGCTTCCACATGGACTCGCTAATCTCTTCGCAAGCACGGCGAAATTTATGAATTTGCTCCGGGAAAGCCTCGTAGATGTTGATGTACTCCCACTCATCCCCTAGGCGGGAAACGGCTGTATGGAAGCGCATGGCCACACTGGCGATCAAGTGCACCAAGTCCTCCAGTGCCTGGACCAGCTGGCGGCGGATATCACTACTCACACTGAAAAGCCCTGTCCGCTCGAGAAGGTTTCCGAGGGCTGTGGAGTTGCTGTAGAAAAAGCCAAATGATGTCATCAAAGCGGGGGCATTCTCGTCACCGAGCTAGAATGAACGACCATTAGCGTGATCCTTGTGTTCGGATCAGGCGAGCATACCTTGAGAAGGCGAAAGCAGTATCCGTAAGCCATCTGGAAGGCAAGACCGCTGACATTGGTGAAGCCCTCAATAGCATCTTCGAAGGACCGGAGTCTCGTGACAAAGAGCTGCGCCCAGCCGAGGACCTTGTCATAGTTGCTGCCGTCGGGGGGCATAAGGGACATACGCTCTTCCTGAATCCAGGACAGGACCCTCTCATATAAGTCACCCGAAAGGGTCAAGCCCAGCTCATCGCCGGTCTCGCGCTGAAGGATAGATAGCTTCCTGGAGAATTCCGTCTCCTGAGGGTCGAGTCTGCGAGACGACACCCTCCTGGAAGTAATTGAGCGAGACATGCCATTGTTGGACATTGTATCACTCTCCGCGAATCCCGAGATACGTCTGGGCATCTTGGGGGAGAGGGGGGAAGCAAAGCTGCTAGGGACGGGGGACAGGATAGATGGAGCCATTGTGATTGTTTGAGTATCAGCAAGATCTGGTGTTTCTGTGGGCCTCGAAGGTGGTGTTTTTTTCACGGGAGAAGGAGTGCGAGTGAGTTGTGGCGACTGCTTGGGGTATCTGGAGGGGGTGACTGTAGGCCGTGGAGGAAGGTCAGGCTCAGCAGAGGTCTCTCCGGAGATGCAGCGGCAACAACTCACTATACAAGAAAAATAGCGACGCAAAACGGCAACCTAACACATGGAAGAACAAAGGCTTTGATTAAGAGGTTAATCCTCGTATCAGTCTGAGGGAGAGGAAGACCGTTCTCTGTGGGAAGAAAGATCACTTAAATAAGTAGGAAAAGCAAAGACAAAAACCCTAGACAGGGGGCTGGATTGGGTTACCGGGGGCTGATGCAATGAGGTGGGCTGGCGTGTGAGCACGATTCATGAGCAAGCAATAGTGGCAAGCTTAACCCCCCATCCACGATGATACCTCTTGCAGCATAGCGTGGCTGAGAAGAGTCTGATCCCGATGGGTCCCTCTGTATCTTTGGCCTCTCAGCACCGCCAGAACGGCTGAGAATTCCAAATCAAAGTTTCTTTCGGAGGGGACCAATAGAGAGACTACTGTTAATGGGGTTGCAAAACCCATGTCTTTGACTGTTTGCATCCCCTCTGACGATCAAAGTTTGGACTCCATGAAATTGACATCACGAATGCAGGGTATTCGCCGCCGGGCACCTGCAAAGGGAGATGGAGGGGGAACTGCTTCGTGATGACACGATGAGCGTATCAGAAAGGAAGGTGAACCCTCTGCGCAGTGCATCCCAGCCTACTGCATATCGACTACTGTCCCATTTCTTGACCATGCGGACGGGATGGGCAGTGGAGCAACACAGGCCAGTCTGGACGAGTGCAATGTCCCTCTCCACATTAGCACCGGCGTCCCGGGACTTTCTGTCATTCAACACGGGCCATATCCCGTATGGTGCCCACACCCACGAGCAGCGGCAGGGGCAGGCGAATAGAGGTCACATTGGGTCTCGTGAATTGCTCGTGGCGGCCGTTTCGAAGCTACTTTGACTAGCAACTCGGAGTCTCCGCTGAACTAGAGCTGAGCTCCTCCTTGTGCTAGTTACCCTTTCTGGCTGCATAGTCTATTGAACAGCTATGATCCTTGCAAGGGCAAGAGTTCAGCTGTGGCTGCCTGAGGGGTAGAGAGAGGACGTGATCTCCCGACTGGGGCGGAGGGGGCTGGATGGGCCCAACTCTCCGATTGGGGCCAATGGCAACGAACGAATGTCGGATAGTGGGCAAACCCGCATCGTCCTGACGAACTGCCGATCGAGGGGACGGACGCGGATTGGATGAATCCTTCTCGGCTGGCAGGACTCGAAGTGATCATCGTGGTATGTAAAGTCGATACCATGCCAGTATTCTGTATGTTAGAATTAGTTCGGCTACTCAGCAGGCAGAGAAGGTTCCACCGGGCTGAAGACGGGATAGACGGTTGCCTACCTCGGACAGAACAATCGGTTTTAATCGTCAAACTGAGCCGGTTAATACATTTGCTTAGGTTTCTTGTCTACCGGAGTAACTATGTCGATACACGATCTGGTCTTCCATCCAAAACCAGAGCCAACACCATTGCCGTGCGCTGGATGATTGGGAGTTCCATGGTTGGCAAGCACACACAGACTCCCGGCTGAGGAACCGCCCCGGCCCGCTTAGCGCGGTGGGTTGCACGATCCGGAACCTCCGCAGCAGCCAGTGCTGAACCTGTATGTAATTTTGGGTTGATGACCAAACAGAGCTGTTTTAGCTCAGGAGAGTGTAGGAAGCGTCTGATCCTGACCAAGTTGGGGATTGACGTTCCTGATTTGGCCAATGTACAGGCCGCGTAGTCCCCGACGCACCAGGATGGAACCCCGAAAATTGCAGGCAGGAGTCATGATTAGCCGGATCAAGAGAGATACATTAGTTTCATGGAGCCCGTGGGATCTCGGGGCAATAAGCAGATCTGATTCAGCCAGGAGGCATGGCGGGTGGGTCGGTATGGATTGGACGGAAGAACCTCGTCATTCAGCTGGAAAGAGAGATCGGAGATTCACGATGGCTTGCAATCCGCGGCGGGTGGATAATTTTGGCTCCCACGTGACGGTTCAGCGAGAGAAGGCTCGATCCAGTTATCGGTAAGGGACACGGCGCCATTGCCGGTGTCTCGGGGAGAAAAGCGGACGGAATTGACTGAAGGGGAATATTGCAAACCCATCCAAGGGTGGCAGGCACCTGGCAGGCACCTGAAAGCTGCCAAGTGGTGGATTCATGACCTAAAGTTTACTCCATAGTTCGTGCCTTGTTCTGTCAAGAGGGGAGAGAGATGTTCGAATCGTCATGGCGAAGCGACCGAGGACGGACCAAGGAACGAAAGCACGGGATCCATCCCTGGCGGAAGCGATCGATCCTCCGTCGTGCCTGTTACAGTCTAGCGTCCGAATGGTTCCAGTAATGCGGGAACCAACACTGACCCTGACAGGCCCAGCCTGTCCTGTCCGCATGTTCATCCAACTTTCAATGTGGAGATGATTTTTTTTATGAGCGCAGGATGGGGTATACACTATACAGTATTTTCTTGCCACACTCTGTTCCCAGTACTCTGGCACTCACCATGTCCTTGATGTCGATCATGTCGGAAGAACTGAAATCTCTCCTGCTAGCTACAGCAAAGCGCCCAACTCATCTCGGGTCTGCGTCGTCTATCATTCCCTACCTACGGACGGGATACCACCAACAGCAAGGGGTCCACTTACTTGCAGATGCTCCAGTGCTCGAGCAAAATTCAATCATTAACTCAACTCAGCTACCCCACTCGCAAAACTCCGGCTGAACAGGAGGATGCCATGCTCGTGGCTACTGTGGGAGGTACTCTCGAGTACTGCTGTGGTTTTGCAGGCAGACAGACAAGACATACCCAGTTTGCAAGAATTGGGTGTGGTCGATGATTTCATTGAAACCATCAATTGTATGCAACCACATTAGATTAGTTTGATGGGTTGGTGTTCTGCATAGAATGTGTCAACTGTCAATTAGTAGAGTCAGGTTACACAAAGATCCTGTCGAGTGACTGCTGCGGCAGCCAGTGCAGACAAAATGCAGATGCAGACAGAACGCAGATGGAAATGGAGGTCTCGCGTGGTATTTGCTAGCACTGGAGTGCCCGGCAGCAGTCACGGCAAGTATGGATTCAGCATTCCAACCCACCCGCCCTCTAAACTATCACACACTATCTATCTACTTACTTCACTTGAAGAAGATTGTAGAAAGGTATTACTAGAATTCCATAGTGAGGCAAAGGTTCAAACTACGCCTATTGTAGAAGATTATTGTCTGTCAATAATACCCCGTATTTGGAAAGAACATGGGTGTGATCATGGGTGCGATCAACATTTCGGAGTCCCCGTATACCCATTTTGATGAATATATATCTCCACCTCAGAATACAATGGATGCATCGTCGTCATGCTCGGCTAATCCCCCAACCTGATCCGAAGATCCAGCAACTTTGTCTAGAAAAAAGCAATAAATCCTATTAACAGCATTATGCTGTTTTCACAAACCCATAGTAGTGAGTATCCGCGATCGATCATCAAAAGGAATGCAACCTAGTACTACAGTACGGAGTACATGCGCTGTAGACAATAGAATATATCAGAAGTACTACCCTACGAATGGACATACAATACTACTCACGTATCAAATACACCACAATGATGCTATACTTCCGTAACTATTAGCTATTTCCATCTCGGATCCTGTCACATTCTTCCCCATCAAAAGAAGCAAAACTTCGCGACGACGCTAAATCATCGCCGTTTCAACGCTACTACTGGACCAGCACTATCTATGCAACCCCAAAACACTGCCTCCACAGTCAGACGCACAAGTCAGAATGTAGCCTTCAGCCCAGCATGGCACAAATGCTAGCACTGTCCCATAAATGGGTCAGACTACCGTAGCTAGTAGATTAATATAATATCTGACTGATCGCCCCAATAGATTGGAGTAGATTAAGCTGAGTCTACCCCTTACTTAGTCACCTTTTCCCTCCACCAGACGGGATTTCTTCGGAATTCGAATCCATTCAACATCATAAGGTATGCGATTCTCAATTTCTCGCCGTGTAGCAGTGTTGTGCTTAGTGGCTGCCTTGACGTGTCACTCTGGCCGGCATCACCGCAGGAGGCGCAATCAGCTGGATGGGGATGGTTGGACCTTCGGGGCACCAAGGTTGCTTAGGATGGATGCTGTGGGTGTGATGCTGAACCCCGGGTTGGTTGGCTGGCTGATCGCCGGGTCTAGATGCCGACAAGCTCGTTTGCTTCTTTACTAGGTGTATCATTGTGGTCGCTGGATGTACAATTCCACGGAGTCGCCGAATCTCACACGATATCCACCATTGTTATTATTGACAGGTCCCTCGGTCGGATTTATCACAAAAAGAAGCATCCTAATAAGCCACCGCATTCAACGCATGTGGATGGTATCCGTGACTGCGAGCAACCAAATCGTCGAAGTTGTCGACGGTCTCCTTCATGACATCCGTACCTACAGTAACATAACAACCACCCGTCAGTATCGCATCTTCAGAACCCACCGCATTAATCAGAATGGAACAAACTCACCCCACATGAAATCCTGCCAGGATTTATCCGCCCAAAGATCCGGATTCTTCCCAGGGCCGCGAATAGCCTCGTCGCGCTTGCGCTGTTCCTCGCCATCCGGCAAATGCAGCGCTTTCCGTGTAACTGCCGCACTCTTCTGAATCTTTTCGGCGCGATCCTTTCGTACCCGCTCATAAACCGCCAATGCGCTATCGATATTGTCCGTCAAGGCCAACACACACCCGAGCACTCCAGCATCTTCGATCGCCTGCGCCGCTCCCTGCGCCACATACGGCAGCATAGGATGGCACGCATCGCCCATCAGAACCACGCGATTCTCAATCCACGTCGGCAGCGGGAAATGCGAGTTCAGCGTCCACTCCATCACCTCCCCATCCGGAACATAACTCAATAAATCGCGAACGAGTTCATTCCACTCGGAATAAAATTCCTCCATCTCCCGTTTATCTCCCTTATTCGTCCAGCTTTCCTCCGTCTCCGCGCCTTCTTTCTGCGGATGCAACAACACCATATTATACACGGTATTATTCTTCATCGGATACGCCATAATATGGCCTCCCGGTCCCATCCACCGCATCCCGACATTCTTTTTCAGTAACTCCCGCGCCCGCGGATCCCCTTTCATTTTATCCTCAGGGATCTGGATCCGGTACGCCGCATCCCCGGTCGGCTGACAAATATCCTGAACACCATGTTGCGCCGCCATCTGGTGTCGCAGATCGGATTTGATCCCATCCGCCCCGATAACAACATCCCCGGATACCCATTCCCCGGTATGAAGCTGCACGCGCGCAGAGAAATCAGGCGCCGCACAGACAACTCGCGAGTCAGTTCGAATGGGGATATTTTCCGACCGTACCGCCTCAAGCAGGATACTTTGCAAGTCGCCACGATGGATGACTGCAAGGGGGGCGTGATACTTTTCTCCGACCTACACACACATTAGCCTCCCCACCCACAATGATCAAAGGTAAAGATATGGTATAACATACAGAAGGCATCAACTCCGCCTTCCCCAGCTCCTCATCATTCTTATACCGTCGGAGAGAATTCATCGCCAACACATTCGCCTTCTCCATGACCTTCTCCAGTAGACCCAAGCGACCGAGAATCCGCGCTGCATTCGGCGCCATCTGGATGCCCGCCCCGACCTCGGCGATTTCCCGCACCCGCTCGAGGATGGTTACTTTGTGGCCGGTTTTATGGATCGCCAGGGCGGCGGAAAGGCCTGCGATGCCAGCGCCGACGATGAGGACATGCAGGGGTTGGCCCTTGATGCGGGGGAGCTGAAAGGTGTCTTTGTAGGTGTCCATGATGACTTCGTAGTATTTCGTGTAGAGTGCAGGTAAGTATGGTTTCAAGTTATCGTAAAGAGAGACGCAGGTGAGTTGAGTGTACTTATACAATACCAACGCAGTGACATCATGGCTACCAACACAATCTCACTACCCCTTGTGCAACATCAATCGGTTAATACGTCGGTAGTACCTCTCAGCATATCTCCCTCTATCCATGACACCGTACCTAGATGTGATACCTCACTCGGAACACCTCTCGGGAGTCACTCTTACAATGATCTCCCCCAACATAGCTCCACAGCTTCATAACAAGCAAGGACTTCCATCTTCAGCATCGTCATCCAGAACCTGAAAGTATCAAGAAGTGGAGATGCGGATCGCCCGGAAGGAATTTGACTTCTGACTTTCCATAGAGTTATCGGCAGCCGAGTTCGGGAATGTATGTTTGCTGTTTTTGGGTATGATGTCATTCCGTATTTCAGCATCTTGCATCTATGATTTAGTACTGTGAGTGGTATTCGAACTACAATCCGGATGGAATAGAAAAGAATTTATATTATAGTGGAGCCCTTGAAGCTGAACTTGTTATCTTCATATATGTTGAATTATATGAAAGCAGGTTCTCTATGCTGTATATTAGGAGTGGAGGACTTATCCCGTAAGGAAGATGACAACATGTATGACTTGAACAGGAGATGTATCTTGCATTGAAAAATAGTAGTAGTAGTAGTAGTAGTAGTAGTAGTAGTAGTAGTAGTAGTAGTAGTAGTAGTAGTAGTAGTAGTAGTAGTATCTTCAAAATGAAATAAAACGCAAAAGGATATATATACGCCAGTCGTAATACATGAACATAAAGCCAACACCAAATCAATCACTCCGCCGAACGTCCTCCATAATCTAATCTACTAGTCAAGCATCACAACTGCTTCTTTCCCCCCTCAAACACCAAGCCATCCAAATCCCCATGTTCCGCAAACCACACGTCCTTCAAGTAGTTTCCCCTTGACACCCACGGCCCCCTATCTGCCGCCTTGGGCAACGCCCCCGACGCGCGGGTGATATACGTCGAATTCAAATTCAACAGCGGCCGCTCCTTCAAGCTTCCCGCCTCTCCCGGCTGCAACCGTGGAACAGCCGCCTTCACACCAGTCGCCTCCAAGTGCTTCAACAGCCGACAGATAAACAACGCCGTAGCGTCGGCGCCCAACGTCCACGACGCATTGGTGTACCCGATCACGAACGCTGCATTGGGCAGATCCTGCATCATCATGCCATGCCAGAGGAACTTGCTGGGGATGTGGATGGGTTCACCATCGACCGTGACGGAGGCGCCACCGGCAATAAGCAGTCTCAGCCCTGTGGCTGTGACAATGATGTCCGCGTCGAGGGAGTCGCCGGAGGAGAGCTCGACACCGGATTCAGTGACGGTGGAGATGGTGTCGGTTTTCACATCGGCGTGGCCGGTGTGCAGGGCGCGGAAGAAGTCGCCGTCCGGACAGATGCAGAGACGCTGATCCCAGGGGTTGTAGCGGGGTTTGAAATGCGGGGAGTGGGAGACATGGGCGGGGAGTTGGCTGGAGACGGAGAGACGGAGAAGGAAGCGCGCAACTGTAGGGAAGGTTCGGCAGAAGAGGAAGAAGAGGTGGCCGCTGATAAACCAGGTGATGCGCTGGATGCGGCGCGAGATGGTGGCGGGTAAGATGTAGCTGTACCACGAGCGGTTGCGGTTGGGCAGGGAGAGGATATAGGTTGGGCTGCGCTGCAGCATGGTTACTTGCGCGGCCTTCTCGGCCAGCTTGGGAATCAGAGTGATAGCTGTGGCACCGGAGCCGACGACTACGATCTTCTTGTTGCTGTAGTCAAGGTCTTCGGGCCAGAATTGAGGATGGATGACTTCCCCCGAGAAGCGGGAGAGGTTCGGGATATCGGCTTCGAGAGGTTGTCTGTAGTCGTAGTAGCCGGTGCCGAAAATGACGAACCGTGCAGTCAGGGCGCGTGATTGCCCGTCATGGTCGACGGTCAGGGACCAGAGCTGGTCGGAGGAGGACCAGTCGGCGCCGAGTAGCCGGTGCTGGTAGCGAATTTTCTTGTCGATGCCATATTTGTGAGTGGCACGGTGCATATATGAGCGGATGGAGGAGGCCTCGGCGATGGGACTATTACCATCCCAGGGAAACCACGAGAAGCCGAAGGAGAAGAGATCGGAGTCGGAGCGGATGCCGGGATATTTGAAGAAATCCCAGGTGCCGCCAAGAGCATCGCGGGCCTCCAGAATAGTGTAACGATAGTTGGGGAATTGAGATTGAATGCGATATGCCGCATTGATGCCGGAGATGCCGGCACCGACAATAACAACATCCAAGTCAGTCTCCATGATGGAACAAAGAGCGGTATGATGATGATGGTGGATGATGAAATGAGCGGTCGTACAGGCTACTTATAACGAGGCATGCAGCTCACATGGCCTCGGCTGCAGATGCAGCGCAATGATGAGTCCGAGGCTATCCTGATAGATCGCAACCGCCGGCCGTTGGGGCATCAAAAAATGGACCTGGCGATCAGCGGCCAATCCCTCCCAAAACGGCAACCCTTGCGACCCTCACATGCGATTGAACCGAATCGGCCTCTTGGATCTTTTGCATTTCAGACTGGGTGGTACAGTGGCCCGTGAAGTCTTAAACTCGCTGTCGCACAGCCAGGATGTAGCCATTACTGTAAACAGCACTTTCTTTGAGACCGGTATCCTACCCGATATGATTGCTCCCAAAATCTCGCTCTCTTTGGCGGAGAAACTGGACTTGGTGCCAGCTCTTGCGTCAATTACTTTGACAGTTTTCTGGGCCCTCCTGACCTCCCTTTGGCGTTCTACCGCATACCCTAAGACGTTGGTGCTGCATATTGGCTATGCAGCATTCCGCAAAGCCACGGCCCGCTTGACAGTGGCCCAAATGCAGTATGTTATGTTACTTGACCGCAACTAACTCCGACAATGCCCATGTCCACTAACAATGCAGATATGCCCTTCCAACCACGGACCAAAACTACGAACGTTATGTCCGGAAGCACAAGCTACCCTCCAAGACAGTAGACTTGGGTGACGGGGCTCTAGGACATTGGATCGGGGACCCGAAAGCGGACAATATCTTGATTTGGTATCACGGTACGTTCATCCCCTCCTCCCTCCCCCTTCCATCATCCCTCCTCTCTACCACCTTCCACTCACAAAACAAATATAGGAGGCGGCTTCGCCCTCCCCGCCAACAGAGGCTATTTCCAGTTCTTCTTGAACCTTATAACTCATCTGCGGAAATATCACAACAAATCGCTCTCCATCTTCACACTAACCTACACTCTCGCTCCGGGGGCCACTTACCCAACGCAACTCCGCCAAGCAACCTCCGCCCTCCGCCATATTCTAACTACTCACTCCCCATCCCAAATCCTCCTCGGCGGGGACTCCGCAGGCGGGAACCTCGTCGGTGGAGTCCTCTCCCACCTCGCTCATCCCCACCCTCAGATCGCCCCCATCCCTTGTGAAGGAACCCTCCGCGGAGCCATCATGATCGCTCCCTGGACCAGTCTAGCCTCGGACTACACCGACCAGGAGATTGACTCGCGCGGGGACCTGATTACCCCAGCTGTTGCGGGGCCCTGGGCGCAGGCGTATCTTGGGTCCGGGGAACGGGACCATTATACGGATTTGTCGAGCGCGCCGGCGGAGTGGTTTGAGTCTTTCCCCGTGGAGAAGGTGTTAGTTTGTGGTGGGGGGAGAGAGATTCTGTTGCCTGTGATTGAGGGGTTTGTGGAGAAGTTGAGGGAGGGGTTCAAGGGGGAGATGGAGTTTTGTGTTGGGGAGGGAGAGGGACATGTGGCGCCGATTTATAATTTGTACATTGGCGAGAAGGAGGAGACGGGGCAGGGGATGAGGGTGAGGGGGTGGTTGGGGGAGACTTTGTGATGGCTGCAGTGTAGATGTGTATGGCTGGAAAGGAGTATATATTGCTGGCAGGGGATGGCTTTATTGTTGGTATAAGTTCAGTTGTAGTATTTTTTGTGAACATTTGAATAGTACATATGGAATGAGACATGAAATTGGTATATTCTGAGATATGTCAAGACGAGTTGCCACGTAGCAGGCAGTATGTGCCTTGAAAGAATTCTGACATATCATATACAAATTGACCAAGTAGCTACACCGTTTCTTGTTCTAACTCCAACAATAAAGTCAACTCATGCAATGCACCTTACACAAATCATTATATTAACATTATACATGAATAACCCAAGCTCCAAAACCAAATAAGGTAACTATTTACTAACATCATTCTCTTTCTGCCACGCCCTCAACTTGACCAAATCCTTCGACGCCAGCCCCCTCGCCGTCTCCTGTAACCATGTCGGCCACGCCCGCACCAAACTAATCCACCACAATGATTCAGGTAAAACAAGCTGTCCACTCTTCCCTGAGATAATCTGCTTCGCGATAGTACTGCCCACCCTCTCCACCGTCAAAACGGGCTGCTTGAATTCCTTTCCAGCATCTGTGAGCTGCTGAATCATGGGTGTGCGCACCCACAGTGGATGAACCACACTATGTATTATTAGCCTTCTTCCCTGCATCGAAAAGAGAAAAGAGAAGAAAGCTTACCTCGTCTTCACCCCCGTAGTCTTATGCCAATACTTTAGCTCCTGCCCCAACCCCTCATGGAATGCCAAGGCACTCGCCTTCGAACAGCTATAATCCACAATCTCTCCGAGCGACATGAAACTAGCCTGACTAGCCACCGTCACGACATGGCCATGGTTTCTCTCGATCATGGCGGGGAGGAACTCCTTCACGGTGAGAAAGTGTGAAATCGTATTCACTTCGAAAGTTTGTCTAATCTTGGCCTCGGGTTCGTCGAGGATCGTCGCGTCGTTGGCGACACCTGCGTTGTTCACAAGAACTGTGGGATGGCCGTGTTCGCGCCGAATCTGTTCTGCTACGGGGTGCAGTGCGGCGGAGGAGGTGATATCTGCTTTGTAGAAGTGGACGTTTGGTGCTGTTTCATATTAGTGGCTGAAAGTTTGTGTTGTAGGAAAGGGGGCGTACGGAGTTTGAAGGTGGGTTCACTAATGTCGAGAATGATAACTTTCGCGCCATGCGAGGATAGTTCTGTCATGACTTGCTTGCCGATGCCACTGCATCCGCCGGTTAGGAGGACGAGTTCGCGGGCATTGTCCCATTTCCGGGTGCTGATATTGCTAAGGGATAGCGAGTTGAGGACGCGGTTGGTTTGGCGCAGAGCAGTGAAAGCTAAGATAGCAGCGAGAGCTTTAGGGACCAGCGGGTGCAGCAATGCTTGCTGTGCTGGAGGGGGCAGATTGGCCAGGGCAGTTTGAGTCCATTCGTGGACAACAGGAGGGATGAATGACATGATGGTGGTATACAATTCTATTGGTGGTGATTTCTTCAAGGTACCTTGATCAAGCTAAGATAAGGTAAAAGTGTGGCAGCCCTTGCTATATATCCCTTCCATCGATGGCCGAGGCTCACATGGCTGAAGATTGTGGCATGAATGCGGCATTCTGTACATTCCACAAACTGAGAACTCCCCAAACGGGAAATCGTTGCGATTGATCCGCGGTTAACTTTCGGACAACAACAAATTGCGGAGATGTTGATCCATTGGTTTGCATTGACGCCGATCAACGGTGCCGATCCCATGTGATTTGTTCCTATCCCCCATAAATAAGGTATTGGGGTAGAAATATGCTCCATATCTACTCCGTACTAGCCTATCTGATAATGTTGAGCGATGAGGGGTCAACTAGGGCTGATCGTCGGCTCATGGCAACCGAGGCAAGACAGACGCACTTCGGTTGACCCTGGATGATGTCGATCCTCATACTCTTTTTTTCCGACTGCAATATTTCTCCTCAACATGACTTTCATTTTGAAACTATTCTCTGCGATGTCTGTCCAACATTGTATCACACCATGGACTCTCTCGTGCTGCTGGCAGCGTCCCTCGTAGAGGGCTACCTTCTTCAACACGGTTTACTCCCCGACTGGGCCTTTCGCAGTGTGACGCTGCTCGCACTGGCAGGCAATCTTATTCTCCGATTTGTCTGGGGGTTCATTATCTATCCATACTGGGTGAATCCATTGCGTCATCTGCCTACCCTACCGGTATACTTTGTATCCTACCTTCTCATTGCAATAACAGTCACTAAAAGTTCCAGGGCAACCTCAATCATGCGCGCGTCCTCTTCGACGACCCCCGCGGTCGTCTCCCACTGCAATGGATGAAAACTATCCCCAACAATGGCCTCATTCATTTCCGCGACATTCTCAACCGCAGCTTCTTGGTCGCCACAAACCACCAGGCCCTGCTGGACATCATGAGCACCAACACGTATGACTTCGAGAAGCCCTGGCGCACTCGCGAATTCCTAGCACGGATCATCGGCTTCGGGCTGATATTGTCCGAAGGAAGTGCACATAAGAAGCAGCGTCGGGCGTTGACGCCGTCGTTCAACGTACGGCATATTCGTGCGCTGTATGCGCTGATGTGGGAGAAAACGGGGTTGTTGATGGATGAGCTGCAGAAAGAGATGGATGCGAATGAGTCCTGTGTGGAGATGAGTGTTTGGGCGAGGTACACCATCCCCTTTGCTTTTTAGCAGCCAACATCCCACCTTTAAAAATACAATACTAAGCGACGAATAGTCGTCTAACACTAGATATCATCGGCCCCGCCGCCATGGGCCGCGACTTTCGTTCGCTCCACAACCCCGAGAACAAAGTCGCCGACAGCTTCCTCGCCATTTTGGAGCCAACCCGCGAAAAGATCGCCTTTTTGGCAGTCAACGTTCTCCTCCCGCAGTGGTTTGCCCGGAAGCTGCCATGGCGCATGAACAAGGTCATCGACACGGAGACAGGCTTCCTCCGCGACCTGTGCAAGGACATTGTATCAGAGAAGAGAGCCGCGATGCTTCAGACGAAAGCCACGGCCGCAGAACTGGAAGCGGATATTCTCGGCACGATGATGCTAGGGGGTGACTTTAGCGATGATGAGCTGGTTGATCAGATGCTGACGTTCCTTGCTGCTGGTGTATGTCTTGACCCAACCCCCATACTGATTCTTAAATCTATGATGGGCATATATACTAAATAGAAAACAGCACGAAACCACCGCCAGCGCCTTCACCTGGGCCTGCTACCTTCTTACCCTGCACCCAACATACCAGCCCCGTCTGCGAGACGAGATCCGCTCCCGTATTCCAACAGGATCGTCACCTATTACCCACGCAGACCTTGAATCCCTGCCCCTACTGAACGGCATCGTCCAGGAGGTCCTCCGCCTGTATCCCACCGTCCCGCTGACTCTGCGCGAATCCATCCGCGACACTACTGTCGCCAATACCGCTATCCCGAAAGGAACGAGAATTCTCCTCTGCCCGTACGCTATCAATCGCAGTCCTGAGTTCTGGGGCAAGGACGCGGATGTGTTCAGGCCAGAGCGATGGGTGGACACAGATAAAGAGGGGAATCAGGTGGTGAATGGACATGGAGGAGCCGGGACGAACTATGCCCAGATAACGTTTTTGCATGGCCAGAGAGCGTGTATTGGGAAGGACTTTGCTAAAGCGGAGTTGAGGTGCGCGCTGGCGGGAGTGTTGGGGAGGTATGAGGTGGAGATGAAGGATCCAAACCAGGTTATTCATATTGCTGGGGCGGTTACGACGAAGCCGGTTGAAGGGATGCATTTGAGGATGAGGAGGGTGGAGGGATGGTAAATACCTGTGGATATGGGACGGAGAGTATATAATTTCATGAGTTATGCAAATAGTTGCTTTTGTTAATAGTACCAGTCTATAATTTTATCAACGCATCACTTCTTGACTACTGGTCGACTCTTATGACCCGGTCCATGTGCATGAGAATGCCCATGAGCATGGCCATGTCCATGACCATTCAACAGCTCACTCGCCTTCCTCTTCCCACTCTTCTCCCCCTTCACCTCCTCCTCATCTTTGATATCATCATCCTCCAAATTAGGCCAATCCTCCCATCCATCCTCCCAAATCCCCGCCATGATCTCCTGCTTCTCTGCCCTCTTAACGCCCTTCGTCCGCATCACCTTCTCCCACTTCTTCATCTCCTTCTTATCTAACAGACACTCATCAAGCAGCTTTTTAATCGCCGTTGTATCAATACCCTCACCAATGAACACAATCTCCTGACGCCGATCGCCCCATTCACCCTTGAAGTCATCTTCAATAGACTTGCGCACGTCCGCATCCTCCGGCCATGCTTCGTCAGGTAATTCGGCGAACCACCCGCCACCACAGCCTAATGTGAGCATGGCGCCGGCTTGACTCCATTCGCCGAATTGGTATGGGCGGGTAGCGAACCAGAAGAAGCCTTTGGAGCGGAGGATGGGGGCGAGAATGGGGTCGGAGCGTTTGTTAGAGAGGATAGTTTCGGGGGGGATGGAGGTGATGTCTTCATCATCGTCGTCTTCTTCTTCTTCGTCCTCGGTGTTGTCTTCATCGTCATCTTTCATCTCTTCATCATTATCGTCATCCTCCTCCTCATCATCTTCATCATCTTCATCATCATCATCATCATCATCCTCCCCAGCCGCATTCTGCAAAATAATAAACTTATCATGCAGCAACTTGAACAGCCTGCGCGGATGAAACGGCCGTCTAGCCGTATAAACAAAGTTATTGATGCCATACCTGTCCACATTAGCCAACGAACCTAATCACGAAACAAAGAATTAGAAACGGAATACATACTCAACCGTCTCCGGCTTCGGCGCCACCCTCTCCCCATTCCCTGTATTCAACCGACTCATCTCATGCAGACTCCTCAACCAACCGGCACCACTCGCCGCCTTAACGAAATCAAACCTCCCCGTGTCCAGAATCTCCCGCACATCAATCTTGGAGTACTTCGCCTCCATGACCTTCGCAGCCGGATTAAGCAATTTAATCAACGTATGGATCTTGTCTTTAGCAACCTTATCAACAAGATCAATCTTATTGATGATAATCACATCCGCAAACTCAATCTGATCGACCATCAAATCGGAGATGGTTCTCTCATCTTCTGGGATGACTTCCCCAGAGGTATATCTATCGGAGAGGAACTCCGCGGTATCGAGGTTCGAGTAGAGATTGAATGCGTCGATGACGGTTACTGTGGTGTCGAGGGTGGTGAGGGTGTGTAGGCCGCCTTGTTTGACACTATACATACCGATCCATCAGCACACATCACTCGTATAATGAAAAGAATGGGGAAAGGGGAGAGATATACATATCCTCAATAACCTTCCTCTCCTCCACACTCAACACCTGCTGCTCAGCTCCACTCCCATCCCCATCCGCCTCTAACATCGCGGCCCCAAACTCCGCCGTGAACGTCTCAGCCACTTGCATCGGCTCACTAATCCCCGTACTTTCGATCACGACGTACTCAACCCCATCTTGCGATGCGAGTCGCGCCAGCTCGGCGAGTAAATCCCCGCGGAGAGTGCAGCATATACAGCCGTTTTGTAGCTGGATGAGGGATTCCTTTGTGTGCGAGACGGTGTGGTGGTGTTTGATTAGGGTTGCGTCGATGTTGAGACTATTCCTTTTGTTAGATGGTACGGGTATATAGATGATGGGACATGTACCTGCTCATGTCATTCACTATGACTGCGATGCGGAGGCCATGGTCAGGCGAGAGGAGGATGTGTTCGAGGAGGGTGGTTTTGCCGCTTCCCTAGTTATGAGCCATTATATTAGTTTTCTGGGGATTTGAGAATGAAGGGAGGCGTGGGAAGAAGTACTAAGAATCCAGAAAGGAGAGTAACAGGCAACTTTCTCCTCTTGGATGTAGGAGCTGGACTCTCCAACGCATTGTTGGGGATTGTTGGGTGGAGGGATTCTTTGCCGGAGTCGATCATATTGATTCCTTGTTACTTTTTGAGAGAATGAGAGGGATCAGAATCAAATGGAGGATTAGAGTAATTTCGTCTACTTCATCTACGTTATATACTTGTCACCACCAAGGTGTATATACTAATGTATACTACTTAGGGTTGGTTAGTTTCATCGACGTTGTGATTGGTTTGCGCCCAAGGTCCTCTTGTCTACAAGGTAGTACTAGTAGAAATTATGGTTTACCAAGGTACTCAATGTCGTACCACATTGCATGCTTTACTAATAAGAGGAATGTAATCAGTAAATAAACATAGTTCTATTTGTTTTACTACTACCATACGTGACATAATCATCATGGCAGACCCTAGTGACCACCCGAGTATCTACCGCGTAACACTATCATCACTCACACAATCCACCCCAATTCCACCCTGGATATCATCACACACAATCTCCGCAGTTCCCTTGGGGCTTGTTATATTGACATTCGACAGGG